TCAGCAAGTTTCCGTCAGAGTTTTGCAAATGAAATGTATTTTGTAACAGCCACACATTCTCTGACAAACAATGCATCCTGTGTTTTTGCGTGTGTTAATTCCACAGTGTGCGCTGAGAGGCTTTCACTGTGACTCACTTTGAGGAGTTTAGAGGTAAACACTTTACAGGATGCAGCTTGGTCTGTGTGTGTTGCACCGGTTTGTCTGAACTGGAGGAAATCAGCCCAACAACTTTCTCATTCAAAGCTAAAAATAAGAAACTACTTTATATTCTGTATCATCCTGTAATATTACTTTCTAATACTGCAGTTTTCCCATAAACATGTTTTCAGTCAGCTCTGGTGATGTCCACAGCTTTGCATCCCCCCACAGCAGATTACTGTAAGTGAGCCACTGCTGGGAAATTTAACATGACTTACGGCAGACAGCTGCAGAGCATGCACTACATCTCAGAGTGGGAGAGACAGCCATGTTTTGCCAAGTCAGGCTTTTGTATTTGACTGTGAGTCGAGTTCAATTTCCTTCAGTTCATAATCCATTTACAGCATGAATAAGAGGTCCTGCATCCTCGCTCATTACTTACTGTAAAGCCTCTGTGTTTCATCAGCATGTGAGTGTTAAACATAGACAGATAGATAGATAGATAGATAGATAGATAGATAGATAGATAGATAGACAGATAGACAGCAGTACTTTTGCACTTTTACACTCACCTGTTGTCTAAAACTGTATATTTTCTGTTTTTCTGAAGCGTCTCTGTAAACCTCAGAGATGGCTGTGTGGGAAAATCCCAGCAAATCGACACTCTCTGTAATAGTCTGCTGGCAGCACCATGTTCAAAGTCACTTAAATCCCATTTGGTCCTCACTCTGATGCTCAGTTCGAGCCGCGTCTACACGCAACCCTGCGTATTCTTCGCTGCTGCCCTCACCGTCGTTCATTTTAAAGCTTAACCTCAGTCACAGAAAACAGTAGCACTGCATTCACAAGTGTTTGTGTGTTATTACTGGGTCCAGTTAATGAACAGCACAGCAGAAGGCACACAAATGATTGTCATCCTTCACAAAATGTGTTCACATAAAATATGTGCTCACGTTAAAATGTGGTAAAAATGAAAATGATTGAGTCCTTTTGATGTCATTAGTCATGTTTAAGCGTTCAGTGTTGTAGAGTGTGACCTCATTAAAGGTGAGACTAAAGGTGTTGAAGCTGAAACGACACCTCTGCAGCTGGAGTCACGCTGAAACGTTAGAGGAAGAAAGAAAGAGAAGCACTTCATTTCCTGCTTCCTGTTTGACATCACTGTTATAAATCAAGATGATCTGTGTGTTTCTTTGCAGACGGTGCGTCATGGTTTCCCTTACCAGCCCACCGCTTTGGCCTTTGACCCCGTGCAGAAGATCCTGGCCATCGGTTCGAGATCTGGTGGAGTACGAATGTATCCTTTACTTCCTGTTCACTCGCCCCGCCCACACACACAGCAATGACCTCTGACCACAGACTTAATGTATTTACTGTAAATACTTTACTGCTGCCACAGAAGCAGGCGGCTCCCACTGTGTTATGTCTCTCCTCCTGTACAAACCAAGCAGGGGCCTCCGCAGCTCCGACCTTTGACCTCCTCCCCTGGTTCTGTTTCCTCTTTCTATCCTGTCATTTCGTGTCACTCACTTGTCTGGTTGCAGACTCACCCTCCAACAGCCCATCTCCTGGGTCACAGGGATGGTGGAGGAAGAGTAACTGCAGCACAGGTACGATGTTACACCCTCGCTAACACCAAGCGTCCTCCTCCAGCAGAGGCACCAAACACGGACACTGCAGCAGCCACGCAGACATCCCGCCGGGGTGACACGTGAGCGGGCCGAGTGGTTTCTGTGCTGAAAGAAAGCGTAAAAGCTCCAGAGTGTCAGAGGTGGACGTGACGCTTTGTGAATATGTGTCTGATGATGGCTGATGAAACCAGACAAAGCTAACGGCTGAACCAAATACTTCATCTCTGCTCTGAATCCGTTCTTCCAGCGATCAATATCCCAGCATTTTCCTTTTTAATATGTTCTTCATTCCATAATTATTTCTTTGTATTAGATTTGATTTAAATATTAAAGTGTTACCGTCCTGCAATCAGAAAAATAGATTTATCCAATCAGATCTTTTAAAACTTTATCTCCAGGAAGAGAAAATGCAGCAGCTGGCTTAGTAATTGCTACAGACTTCACATTCAGGAGGAACAGAGCTCTGTGTGTGTTTGTTATGGATGGACGACAGATTACATCCAGGACCTGAAACACGTCGTCCTACCTTCACAAATACATTTTAAATTAAGTATGAAAAATGATCTTGTGAAATCCAAGAAAATATCACCAGATATTTCTGTGGATTTCAGCCTTGGCGCAGGTGTGCAGTCTCCTTCAGCGCTTACTCATAAAGTGATGGGCGGATTAATCAATTACGGTTTGATTTATCCCTAAAATCGTATCCCCGGGCCCCGCTGAAGGCCGGAGCTGCTTGTTTGCAGAGCTGGATCTTCTCTCAGGTGACTGCAGTGCCTTCACCTCTGGGCTTTCTCTGAAGCATGCAGATACCTGTGCTCTCAGACACCTGAGGGGTCCGTGTCTCTGGTTTTCGGTTTGTTGCAGATTGGGACGCGCTGTAGCTTTAATTTAATCTGCTTGTCATCTTTGATCAAACTGAGCTGAGAAGCTTTAAACCTGGTTCAGGTGAGATCAGGTTTAGATGAGTTAGCCGTTAGTCCCCACTGCTGTGTCCTACACCTGACAGTAGAGCTCGGCTGGGCTTGCAGCTGGATGGAAGCCCTTGAGTGACTTAGCATTTGTATTGACATGCTGCACACACCTCCTCGGCTCCCGAGTGGCCCGTCACAGACTCTCTGGCTCTCTCTCGGTCTCACTCCTCGATTTTGCCCTTTCTCAATCTGCCTCGCCTGCTGTCGTCTTCTGTCTCGTGGACCTTCCCCCATTTCTGCTTTTATTTATTCACTTTACCCTTCGTCTGTCCTTCACAGCCTGTCTCAGTGTCCTTCCTCTTCCTCCCGAGGCTTTGAACATTCACCTGTCATCTTCTGTAACGCTCTCCTTTTGTTTCTCCTCTAGTTTCAACACGTTTCCTCTCTGAGTCCTTCATTTAGCTGTTTTACTACGGCTGGTTGAAATGTATGTAGAAATGTATGCTTGGTTAAAGCGATCAAAGTTAATGTTCACATGACACTGTTGACTGCAGGACTGTGGGTTTGTGGGATGTCTGTGGGAAGTCGGTTTCCCAGCGTGTGGTCTGCCTCTGTACATCCTGAACAGTGATCAATACGTTGGAGTCCCAGTGGAATCTGTTTGCTTTGTTTTCATCCTGAATCGTTGTTTTTTATACCTAAGTGGGCGGCTTCATGCATATTTACTTAAGTACTTGTTTCAGTTGAAGTCTTGGAGCTGCTCTTCATCACTAACCTAACAAACAGTAAATAATGTGATCTTATTTTATTACAGCAGCTCTGTTTCTTTATGCTGGTTTACCTGATTCCCGGGTTTCAGTGTTTGGGTTGAGTGTGCTTACCTACACTCAGAGCAGATTTGGGAAGCTGGTTCAAAGCGGCGCTGTGGATTCGGTTGGTTGAGGAGTTGCTGCGATAGCTGAGATGACTTTCAGTGGCTTAAAAATAGCAGGAATAGAAGTTGTGAGAGAAGCATGAAGGTAGAGACGGATAGAGGTGGCACACTGTGGAGAACAAAGGCAACTTCAGTTACATTATTAAGCATGGTGATAAAAGTACACAAGAACAGATATTTAAGTCACAGCTCTCTGCTGACATTTACATCTTTACCAGCTACAAACAAAGATGATCCTCACAGCTGCTCTGTGCTGGAGCTCACTGTCACGTTTTTATAACCAGACTGAAGCAAAAATCTGCTTCATGAAAACAAACGTTGATTCTTTGATAAACAGAATCAGCAGGAGGAACACAGAGAAAGTCCCAGTGTGTCAAATCTCAGCATTTTAGCACCACAGCAGCTTATTAACACAGTGGACCATTTTACTAACGCTATGTTGTCTGGGGTTTTAGCTTTGAGCCTGACTTCATCAGCTCGAGGTGTTTGGACCTGCTCTCTGTGGGCAGAAGAACGCCGTCTGTAATAA